TAGCGGGGCACAAATTTGCATCCGAATAGCGGGAACTCTTTGCACCGTGCATTTCTGTGCTGCAAAGAAGAAATGCATCCTGCAAAGGAAACTGCAAATTGGCGGGAACTCTCCTGTACGCAGGCTCTTAATTGCAGCAGAACACTCTGCCATGCAAAGGAGCTCTCATGTGGCTAGGAAATTCCATAGTGCCGAGGCACCAAAAATCACTGGGTTGTGACAGGAGTCAGGGGCAATGCCGGGCTCTTTCCATGGTGGGGCTGGGCTTGGGGCATGTGGTGGCAGCGCTGGGAGAGGGTCTATGGTGAATTTTGCAGTGGCTGTAGACCACCTTGTAGCCCTCCCCGCACCAGCACCGCCCACCCCAAATCCAGCTCTGGCCCAACCCCCTCCACCGGGAAGAGCCCAGGTCTGCCCCCGCCAGCAGCAGTAGCTTGCCCTCACTCTGCACACAGATCGGGGGGCATGTGCCCCCCCAGGGGTGTGCACAGCAGCAGGACTCGCCCCCCGCAACTGCTTGTGGCTCCATCCCATGCCCCGCCCTCTGCCCCGGCTAGGCAGCACCTCCCCAGCCCCAGCTTTACTCTCTCCCTCACCGTGGTACCTTCGATCTGCCCCCCACGACTTACCAGCCAGACACTGGTCTCCAGGCTGCTGGGCTGGCTGCATGCATGCTGCAGCTGCACACATACACACGGCATTTAACCAGTAACATTAATAGGCTGCATCAGCCAAAAAAAGCCGATTACTGATAACGTCAATTTTCCTTTTATCGGTGCCGATACAATATGGACTGATGTATCGGTGCACCTCTTAATTTTAGAGGCAGAAATTTGCATAAGAACCCAGAAAGAGAAAGGGAGAACTCAGAATAATGAGTTATTCAAAATAATGTAGTGAATTTATTATGTAGTATTAGAAAGATCTCTCACACACACACACACACACACACACACTGGTTTCTCCAGATCTGCAGAATCTAAGGCCATTTTTCCAGCTCTCCTGGGACTGTATAAATAATATTATTATAATGTTGCACGAACCTGCCTCTATCAGCCAATAGTGCTGTGCTGGACATCTACTTGCTAAAATTTTCAACCAAGGACCTTTACTTCTCACCTATGCTGACACAGCCCATTTGGGAGGAGCCCCCACAAATGGCTGTGAAGCAACTTCATAACACTTTGTCAAATCCTTCCATACAAAAAATACTCTGCTCTTCCCAGAGGCTTACCATAACACTTGATAATAATTAGGCAATGGTCACAAGACACCCACTTATCTCCACTATCTCATTGTTATGGTACGCTCCCATGGTCATTGCACCCATCTTGTATATTTAATCTTAGTTCAGAAGTACCTCTCTATTTCTGTTGTGCCAGTACACTGCCCAGCATAGTAAAACCCACATCTGTGGCAGATACCCTCCAGGACTACAAATAATCACAATTCTTATTACTTATGGTAGTTGTCAAGACGAATCTCTTAGCACAGTTTCTTAGATCTCATCTTAACTTTGGGAGGTTGACCTAACCAGGTGTTACTGGACATAGGAGGAGAAGCTGGTTCTTCCTATAATACTTAGCTAAGTAGAGGATGTCATTGGCTCAAAGGGTTCAAGACTGGTCTTTCCGCTTGGGGGCTCGTCTGTACTACAGGGGTCCTGCCTCAATAGCTATATCAGAGTAGCTATGATGACAGAGTGCAGACTCAGCAAAAGGGGCTTCTCCAAACACCCTCTTCTATCAGCATGTGGCACATGGTCTTACAAGGAAGATGAAATCCATGTATTTCTTTATGAACAATCACAGCTGCATGTTATCCTTTTCCATTCACTGACATTAAAAAAATATAATATACTTTTGATGTGTTACCTCTTACAGCTTAGCCTCCTACTGAGATTAGGGAATCGCACACCAAGAACCCACTGACTACTCACTAGAAACTGGACCAATCTCATTTGGATCTAGATTGGGGTGGGCAAAATATGGGCCATGGGCCAGATCCAGCCCACCAAGCACTTTCATCTGGCCTGCGGAGCCCTATAATGAATTGTGCCCCAGCCCTTGCACCCGCAGGGGTGGGAGTGAGGCACCTACACCAGCCAGACAAGCTACTCACTGCTCCATCCCACTCCAGCTGGGCAGCGCCTGCCCCAGCTCCACTCCCTGCCTCACTGTGGGGACCTTGATCTGCCTCCCCAACACAATGCTTCCCCCCCCCCCAAGAAAAAAAAAGACTTAACAGCTAGATACTGCTCTCCAAGCTACTGGGCTTCCATATCAGCAACTGGATCAGCATTGGCCAATATGGCTCATTAATAATTGGCCATCAGTATTGGCCCAAAAAATTGTTATCGGTGCACCCCTAATTTTAACTTTCCTGAAGTTCAGGTTTGGTTTTAAGGACTGTGTGTCAGTTGTGTTAAATCCAAACTGTCTAAAGTTCAGGTGCATTTAATCTAGGGTTTGCTTTAGGTCAATCTTAATACCTAACCTTCAAACGCGCGCACACACACACTCCATTTAAAGACTCACATGTTTGATGCATTAAACATGAAATCAGTTTGGCAATACTGTGGATTTTAAATTGAGATTGTGTGTGAAATGACAGTATGCAGTAGATTTATGAGATTTACTACACCCAATAAAAGCACTCACCTGTTTGGCTGCTGAAGAAGAAATGACTCCTCTCTCTAGGAGATTCAGAAGGTCAGCCAAAGAGACAGAATTGACTGGACTAGAAAAAAAAATGGGTGAGATGAGAACTCGCTTGAAAAATAAGGCATAGTTCAACATCTCTATGGCATCTGGTCATTTAAGTAAAAGAAAGTCATTTACACAAAGACTAGGTGATATACTCTATGTCCATGAAGCTTTTGAAGATATAATGTATTTTTGGTCAGCTTACTATGTTTTGCCTTTCAGACAACAGAAATGGAAACCTGGTGTTAGTTAACTAAAGGTTTCTCTTCTCTGGAAGATATGTAGTAGTTCATTAAAAGGACACCACAAAGCTCTAGGGTCCAAAAAGCAGCACCAGACACTTTTCAGAATAACGTTAAATCCAGGGGTGGATAACAAATTAGGAGTTGGCACTAAAGTTACAGGGCACTACTGACAATGGTCCGAGCCTGAGTGTGAGAATATGGTCATTTCATTTTACTCAAGTTAACATAGAGAGCTTCACCTCTCCTTGACTGTAAGGTCGTATTGTTTTAAATGACCAAGCAGCTCACTTATAACCCATCCAATCACTTTCTTTGGATTCATCTGGGTTTTTCTCACCACATCTTCAAAGAGCTCCATTAATCCATCTTCATTCTATTAAGAAAACAGAATTTGATGCATCAATGTCAGCAAAGTGAAAAAATTACTATTTTAGTTGTGTTACACATGCATATTCAGTGGGTAGTGTCCTCTAGTCAGTCCCAAGGTAAACGATCTGTGCAGTAGGATGACAGTGAACAATCGCCATTATGGGAGAGAATACACACACCAGAGCTCTCAGTCAGACTTCAAGCTAAAAGAAATTACATTAAACATGCAAACTTATTAAGAACGTTTTCCTGACAGTAGTGTACAGGGAGAAGCTGCCTCACTCTAGGCAGGTAGAGAGACCTCTTCTCGAATACCTATCCTTCTGGTGCAGTGACTTGTGAGAAACAGCATGCTATGTTTTACTAAGAAAAGATTTTTTGAAACCACCTGAAAATACCTCATGCTTGATCTTGCACACATTTGGGGCTGCTGGAATGAGATGAGCTTGTTTCTGTCCCTGAGTGATTTGGATAGGTCAGACTATAAAACCAAGTTTTTATTTTTCTAGTCTTTTTCTAAACTCCTGTGATAAAGGCCTTCAGCATTGGATATGTATTGCATTGGGGGGACAGAGATTCAATTTTAAGTGAACATGAAGTCTGAGATTGTTTTTAGAGAAATAGATATAGCAGGGTCTGATGGATGCTATAGTGCTTTATCAGAGAGAGAATGATGGATCAGTAACTGTAGCATGTCACATAGCAGACTTTCCTGAGACTCAGGATATAGCAAAACAGGGATTTTCCAGGGAGGAACCTGAATTCAGCAAGCTAATAACTTTGTGGTGTATAATGAAACATCCACAAACAAAAAGTCTGCTCTTAGAAGTTACTAGGAAATAATCTAGCCCATAAAATTAATTCTGATCGTGTATTAGAAGAGAGGCAGGGATTTCTTCGGGTGATACCTTTAGAACATGCGACTACGTGCATTTTCTGAAACTTTTTGCATATCCACACTGATTTCAGTAAAGTTTCCTGGGGCTGAGGGCTTTATGATAGGTTCTGACCAGAGACGGCACTTATTTGCACAATCAGACCCCTGACCTTCTCGTTCCAAATCCAGACATTTCAACCACAGCACTCTCTCATGAAATTGCTAGGTTTTGTTTTCATTCCAAAGTAGGCCAAAAAAACAAAATTTGGGGACCCCCAAAGGACAATGTAAAATGGCACTCTCATCCTTCAGTCCTTCCTTCTCTCTTTTGCTGTCGATGCAGTGTTGTTCCTGGAAGCAAGGAGAAAGCTCCAGGCCAACTCCTCTCTTTAATTAAAAGTTGCTTAGATAATAGTAACTCCACTGAAATCAACAGAGTTAGAATGTTGTAAAACTGGTGCAAGTGAGAATGTTGAGGCTTTCTGCCTTTACCATGAAAGATAATATGGTTTACTGAAGTGAGCAAAAAACTGGGACACACATACTCACCTTCTCATCCTGGCTCACCCACTGGCCCTGTGGCCTCAAATAACTTATTTAACTTTGTTGTCTTTTCATGTCTAATACTTATTTGCTTTTGTTGCTACAATTCTTATAAAACTTAAAACTAGTAATCCCCCAGTAATCAAAAAAGGTGAAAACCATCCATCAGGTAAAACCACATATCTTGGTGTTGGTATTGGTGTTTGTAACTTCTCCATGCCTTTTAAACAGCTCAACTACCCAACCACGGGGTCTTATAAAAAAAACACCCCACATGTGGCTTTTCCCTCCACCAGAGACCCAACCACAATAACCACAATAACTACGGGAAGGCTAGAGCTTTTGTTTGGTGAATTGAAAATATAGCTTCAAGAGCCAACACACACACGAACATAAACATTAATATAAAGCAGCACAGACAGAACCTCAAAGCAGCATCCTCCCCAGTGCAAAGAGGTAATGTGCTGATTAATATTTGTACTGCACTTTGATAACAAAGAACTATGTGCTTGTTAAGTAGACTTATGAAATTGAAGTTATCCCTTAATAAATACTGTAATTTTTAATTCCCCTCAGGAGTCATTATCCCAAGAACAATGGACTTCATATTCTAAGGCTTAATTTGATGGGTTAACTTCCAGGGCAACACTGTCCATTTAGCTCAGTCTGGAAACAGTGAGCCAGTATTCATGTCCCTTCTTAACAGCAACTACACATTTTTAAAGTGGCAAGAGCAAATATGCATGTAAAAATGCACACACATGGACAAAAGTAATCAAGCCCACATGTACTGCTTTTGTGCATGAATATGCATGAATTGTGCCTATCTGGAAATATGGCCAATTTTGGCTTTACCTGATGAGGGAAGAAACCCAATAATGTAATGTCAGTCTGGAATTAGCAAAAGAAATCTTGCATTTGCTTTTAACAAAAAAACTTGAACCAGATTCAATTCTGTGCGATAGGAATGGAATATTTTCCTTATTAAAGAAAGGGAAAAATATCAGGAACAATGAGACTGGGAAGACTTGATCAGCCTTCACTTTTCATACAGTCTTGCCTACCCTACAGCTGCAAGTTAATTTGGATTTGTTGTGCATTTGGTCAACTTTTCTCAAGCCAAATGAATTTCAGACAGCATGCCAATGTCATCCTATGACTTACACTGGGAATATTTATCTCGGGTAGAATGTGTCAGCCTAGGGAATGTCTCAGGCACAGGGGTCCAATATTAAGCTGTGTTGCCTTTGATATAAAATCCAGTGTGTAACTTTTGCCAAATATCTTTGCTCTTATCCTTACTTATTAAGAGTCAACTTTCACCACCACTTCCAATTTTCCAACCACATCAATTAGGTCCTTTTGCTCTGCATTTCTAGCCACTCAAAAAAGTCTGCAAGAATGGAGAGAAGAGGACCAAAGTTCCCAGATGCAGAGCTTAACTATTAAAATTAAAGTGACAATGTCCTACAAATTAACAGAAAATTCTTCATATGCTTAAGGCTAAAAAAACCCAAGATGCAATTCAAATTCAGTGGATTCCTCATATTGGAATCACTTTGGGAATTGGTGATTTGATTCTATTAACTGGCTGATTCCATTAAAAGGAGACCTGCTTTTTTTTTTTTTTTTTTTTAAGAACACATACTTATTCCTCCCCCAGTGCCCCGCTGGAGGGGGCCCCCAGCTGCCAGGGCTATGGGGCCAGGGACCCAGGTCTGCAGCCCCCTTCCCCTGGCAGTAGGCAGTGCCTGCTGCAGTGGAGCTGAGCCTGACTCCTCACCTGCCGCTGCCTGCTGCAGGCTCAGGCACAAGGGGCGGGGCCAGCTCCTTGGCGTGGCATGCACTCCCAGAAGGGAAGGGGGGGTCCTGCGCCCCCCGATCTGTGTGGAGTGGGGGTGGAGATGGGCGTGGGCAGCGAGGGCAGTGGGACAGGGTTGCGCCCCTCAAAGCTACTGTGCATGCACCACAAGGGAGCTCCAGCCTGGCTCCCGCTCCATGGACAAGCAACCCACAGCTCTATCCCACTCCCCGCTGGGCCCCAGCCCTCCCTCCTTATGGGGGCCTCAATTTCAAAGGAGTTCATCCAGGCCCATAACAAAGGGTAGTTCATGCAATCCCCACCCCCAACACAACTTACCTGCAGCAGCTGCTCTCCAGGCTGCCTGGGGCCAGGTGCATGTACATGCACATGGCACCCCTTGCCTGACCCCCCTCCACCCTCCTGGAACTCTGCCAGCCTGCAGAGGGCTCCTCACAAAACTGCAAAATCCCCAGGCTTCTTCAGTAAAATGATTCCAAAAACTGAAAATTATGATTCTACTATGAATTATTTTTACATGCAATATACAGATGGTTTTGGCTTTCCCATATTGATTCAAATAAGCAGCTGATTCTATTAACCAGCAATTCTATAAAGCAGAATCCACTGCAATGGAAATATGGGTAGAAAATCCAGAGGGCATAATCTAAAGTAAGTTTATTCTACTACCAATTATTGGATAACTCAAGCCAAATGGTATTTTGGATACTTACCTGCCTTACAGAAGCTGTTTCACTGGCCACATACTGAAAGAAGTACTTGGCATTTAAAATACCTCAGTAGTTAATGCAAGGACTGTCCCTGGAAACAATTTCCCAGCCTAAAACCAACATAGAAGCTGTAATGTTCTGGTCTATGGGAATGATTGCTGTCTCACTTGATCCTGAATATATTTTAATCTTCACAGAAGAACAAATGGAATTTCACAATTTCAGTGCTGCGCTTGTTATGGACGGTTCCTCAGTGCTTTAATTATTTCATAGATATTAGGGTGGAAGGGACCTTGCAAGATCATTGGATCCAGCCCCCTGCCCAAAGGGCAGGCAGTCAGCAGCAGTCAAATGATCCCAGCAAGATAGGCATCCAAGTATTTCTTAAAGGAATCCAGAGTAGGTGCCTGAACCACCTCTGGGTGGGGAGTTTATTCCAGGCCCTGGGGACTTGGACAGTAAAGAAGTTTTTCCTTATGTCCAGCTTAAAACGGCTCTCCAAGAGTTTGTGACAGCTGGACATAGTCTTCCCATGGGGTGCTCTGGTAAACAGCTGTTCTCCCAGTTCCTGGTGCATACTCCTTATATATTTATAGACTGACACAAAATCACCCTTGAGCCTATGCTCCTCCAGGCTCAAGAGTGCCATGTCTGCCAGCCTCTCCTCATAAGGCCTGCTCTCTTGTCCTCTAATCGTTCACGTGGCTCTCCTATGGACTCTCTCGAGCTTTTCCATATCCTTTCTGAATTGCAGAGCCCAGAACTGGACACAGTATTCCAGCTGTGGTTTCACCAAGGCTGAATAAAGTGGGAGGATGACTTCCTGGGTCTTGTTCAAGATGCATCAGAAAACGCAGGACAGTTTTGTTTGCGTTGCCGGCTGCGGCATCACATTGGTGGCTCATGTTCATTTTGTGATCAGTTACGACCCCAAGTCTTTTTCGGACACAATGCTAGCTAGTGTAACACTGCCGAGCCTATAAGTATGGCGTGGGTTCTCTCTCCCAAGGCGGTGCACCTTGCATTTCTGTGTTGAATGCCATCAGGTTTTG